CAGAAGTGGTAAGAATTCACTTTACAGACCTATTTTTCAGCAACAACAAAAAAATGAAATAGTAAACCCTTCTTTTTCTCAATAAAATACAAGCCCACCAAAATTCCTGTCCCATCCTCTTTGCATTTTGCTGCCTAAAAGCTGACTTTGATCTGTATCTCTTCTATGGTATGCTTCCTTTCTTTATTAAGAAATACATGGAAGCAGAAGTAATGTTCAATCCTGGAAGAACAAAATTCACATTAAAACTAATGTGATATTCTGCGTTTGGTATGCTTTTGGATGATTATTCTAACAGCTTATTGAAGTGGCTCAAAGAGAAATTAAATCAGTTACTAACATTGCTATGGTAGTTCAATCAATAATTTTGCTTGCTTTTCAGGATGTCAAATTTAAACAGAATATATAAAGAATGTTAGAGTCCACTGTATTCTGCAGCCCCTGTGGAACCTCCTGTTCTCTCTTTCTTTCATCAGTATTAAAAACCAGGTATAATTTCTGCACTGTTTTCAAATAGTGTAGGATATTCCTCCCTCTTCAGTGGCCCTGGGTGTACTATTTTGTTTCCCTAATTCAACTCATTGATCGCTCTGGGGAGAAATGGAATGCTACAGTAATCAGAATCTTTGCTACCTCCTGCTAACCTGGATGCATTCCTAAATAGCTCCCATTATGGGCTTCAATCACATCTTGCATTCCCAGTGCCGACAGCCTAGTCTCTTAACAGGTGGACACATCTGTTCCAGTCTGCCAAATTCAACTTATGGTGGTATTGTTTTGAAATATTTGCATAGTTTGTTCCAAATACTATGCACATCTGTTCAGATCTAATATTATCTTGGAGCTATGGTTTAGTTAAATAAAAAGAGACATTTTTACATTTTCAGTGGTTTCCTAAATATAAATATTTTAAAGCATACTTAGAATATTTTAAAATACCTTTAAGTTTCATGACTTTTGGTTTTGTTTTAGCCACTGAGTAGATTATTCTCTTTAAGAAACTAGTAAAAACAGATAGAAATAATATCTGAGAAACAGTTACTTGCTAACAAACTGAAAAATCACTCAACGCATGAGAAGGTTCATTTTGTAAACAGAATACCTAATATGTTTGAATACTGTGACTACTAGAAAGCATAATTTTAAAAAAAAGTTATACTTAATAAAATGAAAATACAGTTCTATATATTCAAATCTTTTCTGAAATCATGGAGTACATGACAGGTAAAGAAAAATGGCTAAATAAAAAAACAAGGGATGGACAGGAGTGTAATAGGAACAGTAGAGAATATGAAGAGTAATTTGGAGGATTTCCATCATGGTCTTCCATGATAACAGATCTTTTTTCTTAGAAATATTGTGAGATAGACCTGCATTTATTCTTTTTGGCAGTTTTTATTTATAAAAACTGGAGAGGACGTAACTCCATAAAAAATGGTTTCTGAGAAGAGTGTGAAGAGTTAGTGAAAACTCATATCATAGGCTTTATTAGGTTGCTGTTTGAGGTTTATTAAGGGCATCAGTCTGATTCATTGAGACGTTTCTTACAGGTCAATTAATACTTTGGGGATCAGATAGAATTAAATCCACAGAACAATTTAGTTGTGTGTTACATCAACTTCTCATTTTAGGTGCACAAATAAAGAACTGAAAACCTAAAAAAATAGCAGGTTTGTTGTTCTACTCTTAAGACACTTAAAATCTATGGGCACTTAAGTCTTCAGCAATGAAATTTATATTTGCCCAAGGGTCCCTTCATTTTCATAATGTTGGGTGTTTGCTACTTCAATTCTATTCAATTAGCTTTTCCTCCATTTACCTAATCAGGAAGGCCTCATCTAAAGTCTAGTAGAAGATGTCTTGCATATATTTTATGAAGCTTATTCCTTTTAATCCAGAATTCTGAAGATTTACCCAAAAGTTTTTCCCAGACTCTTGAGTTAGACAATTCTTAAAACAATGCTTGAAATAACATACTTATAATATTACTATATAACTATGAGTATATTATCATATAATATTAATTATCAGAGATAAATTTGTTGCACTGAAGGAAAGTAACAAACATGAATCAGTATGACTCTTTATGCCAGGTGCAAAGAATCTTGCTTGGGAAGAACTACATCCAAGTACTGACCTGTGCTTCAATGAATATATGAATCTCATTTTTTGCATAACATTAAACAGATGTAGGGGATTTTCTCCATAAGTTGAATGGTGTCAACTTGATGTTACAAGTTCATGCTAGTAGTTATTCCTACTCTTTCTAATTACTCTATGCAAGAAGAAACTGCTCCAACAGAAGAGTCTTCAAAGGTGCTCTTGTGATGAGTGCACCAGAATTACGAGTGTGACTTATAACACTAGAAAAAACTTCATGCCTAGAAGTCAGGCAGGCACAATTACTGAGGGATCCAGGAGGCTGGTATCACTCTTTTTTATGAAAATAAAGAGTTCTAATATCCACCTTCAAGAGACACAGAGCAGAGTGGTGCATTTCAGATCAAAGGAGAAAACATGGAATCTCTTTACATCTACAGGGAGGAAAAATGTGCAAGACTGCTCACTGCAACCATTTCCTAACAACTGTACTTGCAAAGCTAACCTTTCTGTTAGGCAACTCATAGAGCCTTATATTTTGTACGGTGACAGAGACCTTATTCAGGCAGACCTGACCTAGCAACAAGGTGCTAGAAAAGTTCAGGAATAACAAGGAGATCTTGCAGTCATAGAATCATAGAATGATTTGGATTGGAAAGGATCTTAAGGTCATCTAGTTCCAATCCACCTGCCATGAGCAGGAGCACCTCATACTAAACCATGCCCTTTTGGCAAGAGATATTTTCAAACAGATTCTTGGTGGCAAAGTTCTGTAATCAAATAATTAAGCATACTTTTATGTTTGAAATGTCAGAATCTATACATTTAAATCTTGTATATCTCTAGCTTTAAGAAAAAATATCCTTAGTAAAACTTCGTGTTAGAAGACAAATTAAGTTTTAATAGGATCAGAGACTTCTGATGTAGATGAGGTCCATCTCTGCTTCCAGTTCTGAACTTTTGTATATGAAAATCACTTCAGACCATACCTGTGGTTTTGCAATAGCCTCACCATGAAAGCAGATTCATTCAAATATGAATCCTTCTATGTCTTCAGGGCCACATGAATTACATATCACAAAATTCTCAAGGTCCTCCTAACTTAGAAACTGGACTATCTGGACATTCCAGAGGGAACAACACTCTAGAGGAAAAGAAAAGAAATATATATATATAAAAAAAACCAAGGTTTTAGAATTTCTTTGTTTTGATTTATAGAAAAATCATAGCCTTGGAACAATTATTTTTCATGCACCATGAGAACTGACACCTATGACAGCTAATATCCAGAAGGAGTGAATTTTATTTGCAGTGTAGCAACTGTCAGTGCTGTCTCAAATTCTGAGAAGAGATATAAAGTGAAATTCCAGGTTTGTCTTGTTGGTTTTCTTACTTGCATTTCAGGTAAACTGAAATCTTGGCAGAGTGAGGGGAGAGAAAAAGGAGGTTGATGGCACTCTTTTCCTCTTTTTACTAGATTTGAGTAGCCTTTGGGGTTTTTTGCCAAAATCATTATATTTCCTCCAAAAGTTTGGGTATTCAGAAAACTTCTTCTAAACCTGAAGCCTATTTAAAATGGCTTATAACTTTAACAGTTTCCTATAGATCTCCAGAAGTTGTTTTAATCATTGCTTCCCACAGGTAGCTAGACAACTAGCTTAAAATCCTCTATAGCGTTCTCATTAAGCCACCTGGACTTTCATCTGCTACTTCAGCCAGTTTAATCCATTACATGATCTGCTTTAAACACCTACATTCCAGAATTACAATTTTCTAATGAACTATTAGAGCTAAATGGAAATCCACATACACAGGAGGAATCATGGACAGGCTTCTATATTAGCACAAGATCCCTAGAAAGCTGTATGGCTGAACCAGTTGACTCCCAGTGGCTGCAAGTGTGCCTGAGTTCCTCACAGTCGGATGGCTTTGTGTGCCAGTGTAAGGATCATAATATTACATCCAGGCAGACATTTCCTCCCATGTTGTATTTTGGCTGCTTGAAACCTCTCCTCAACATCAAAATGAAGTGCATTTATATACATATAATGTAAGGAAGTTACAATAAACTGTTACTATGTATTTTGTTACATATTGCATGGAGAAAATACCAAGATTGGATCCAGTCACACCTAGGCTCCCTTGGGAGTTTAGAAAACAAGTGGGGTTCATCCTGAACCTCGTGACTCAACAGGAGGGTCTCCCTTACCCTGTGTGCCTTTGGTGTCTGTATCAATCATATTTAGCTTGATTTCTCTTTGTATGCTTCATTAGCATAAGTAATACTGTGAATCTCGCCATTAAATCCTGCTGTCGTGTCTTTATAAATCATCAGAACTGGTCTTGCTAATACCTTTGATGGGCATTCTTTGAGCAACCCTAAACCACCCATTTTTTAACAACCCTTTAAAAAGCGAAGCTTTAAAATGCAAAGCTTTTTAAAAATTAAATTGCATAAAAACAACATTTTGAATAAAAGAGGATATCTAAGAAAAAATAAAATAAGCCTATGAACCAAACACATTTTATTCTATGTTTAAAAAGCTGTATATAAAGCATTCTCTTACAGCGAAAAGGAAATCTAACAGAATGATTCTCTCCCAAAGTCCCAATCTCATTTCCCCCACAAGTTTTTCCACCTAGAGAGACAGAAAATACATATTAATAATTGTGACAGGAGACAGGAGTTACAGCAGCAGTCACATATTCTAGGTTTGTCCTGGATGTCTGTCAGTATGTCATATGATATGAATGAATTGCTATAAAGATTACTTGAAAAAATATATGAGGAATGAAAATTTAGAATGCATTTATTTTTTTATCCCCTGCTGTATAATAGCATATGTTGTTTTTATATATACACACATAATTATATACATTAACATACAATACTCAGATCCCTGATTTCTTTGAGTAGGTGGAAATATATCTGTAACATGCAATAATATTTTTAAAAGGTCCCAAATTCCCAAGGTCCCAACATTATACTTCAAAGCAAACAAACAATTTGGATTTCAGACAAGGATTTTACCATGAAGAGTATTTCCAATTACCATTTTAAGACATCACTTAAAATTAAAGATGTGAAAATCCAGTGCATATTCACTATCACAAACCATAATTTGACAGTACAATATGTCCCCCTATCTAATTCATATCTATAATTTTCTGAAAATCTAATAAATCTCAAATTGTTCCTTCACAGTAATAGCATAATTTGTTGGTATTAATTAAATAAATAAATGGAAGAAAAATCAGCAACTGATCTGAATCCTCTTTATGTGCCCAGGGATTTTCCAATATTAATTGAACTTGTTCACTTTTCCTGCTGAAATCATGCCAAAGATTAGAGGGTATGTTTCTATCCACAAGATACAAAAGAAGAAATGCGCTTAAATTTGGGCTTACATCCAGCTTATAGAGAAAACAAAATTTAGGTTTAATTTAAGGTAAAATACTATGAATATGATAACTTTTTTTACTGTGACTACTCTACCAAGTGAAATTAAACTTTATTTTGTAAGACTATTTTGGCCAAAATTGCTACTAACTTTGCATGTCCATTGCTGAAGATTAGTTTTTAAAGATGTTCAGTAGCACATTTCTTGGACTGGATTAGAAAAACCTGATTATCTTTCTTACACCAGAGTTGTTCTTGGTAGTTGTGCTATGAATAGCTTTTGATAATAAATAAAGAACGAGATTCAAAGTGGACATGAGCACTCTTATCTGCAGGTACTTACTTAAACCCAGACTGGAGATTAGTCACTATTAAGATGGCTTTGACTTTCCAGTGCCAGAACACTATTTTCCAGTTCAGAATCCCTAGTCTTCTATCCACCTGGGAACTAGACCACAAGTGAGCAGAACTGAAAGGATTAGCTGGCCTGGCCACATGCATCTTCAAACCTTAGAGCTCAAGCACAGCAGGGGATAACCTCAGATCAGCAGAAACCTAAAATGGCTCATCTTTTCTATCTTTAGTGTCTCAGAATCTTGGAAACTATTTGCTAATTTAATTTGTTGTGACTAATACATTGTTCCAGTGTTTCCTGCTGTTATAGTCTGCAGGAGAATTTAGTTATAATGATGGCTAAACTCAACAGCAAATTTCAACAACAGGAATTATAGCACCATTATGCAGAAATGTCTAGCAAATTATGCAATTGTATCCACCACAATATAAATCTCAAACATATTAAACCTCTCTTTGTTTCTTTGAAACTGCTAGCTTGGGTTTCAGCCAAAACGTAAAATTCAGAAAGGCAATTTATTTTCTTTTTTTAATCCCATGGGCTTTTGAGAAGACTGTTAGCTAAAGCTCTAGGTCTGCATTATCTCTGTATTCTATCTTCTTACAATAACTGGATGCTTATTGGAGGTTATAAGCAACATCCCAAACATGATCCAAATGTCTTAGAAAGCAGTATTAATATGCACACGTTCCAAAGTGATTTATAAATGCATAAAAATGTCAGGTTAGCAAATCTAAGGAGGACATTTACAAAAAAAAAAAAAAAGAGTGGTAAATGTTCATCAGACACTAAAAAGCATGAACATGGGTATTTTTCTCTAATATTTTTTCTATTTTTGTTCATTAGAAATGCACCTGAATACAAACAAAAAAAAGTAAGAATATAAATGAGCTTGTGACTGTAATTTGATAGCACTACAAACATTTTATAGTGTTCTAAATAATTTGCCAAGCAAGTGATGCATTTTGCAAATAGCAAGAGACAAACTTCAAAAGCTTTTCCAACCTTCTGCATGCAAAACTACCAACTCTTTAATCAACTCCCTTCTCTCTATTTTCCCTAATTCCCTTATCCTAAACTATTTCACACTTTACTATTCCCTATAGCTTGAATTCCCTGGGATTTTTTCAGCCTCCAGTTCCTTCCACTGCCCTGATTCCCTTCCACCTCCAGCACTCCTTTCACTTTCTCTTAATATTCTTAGTATAGGTCTTCAGCAGGGTCTGCAATAACATTTCATAGGCTCAACATTGTAGCTGTTACAAAGTTAAACTCTATGAGGTTCCCAGACTGCCATCCTCAAAATGCACTAGATGGCCCAGAACATGAGAAAGAATGAGTCTGGAGGAAGGAAGAATGGCTTCCTTCTTATAATCAGATCAAATGTGTCAAGATTTTTTCCTATTCTACTTTGTGTTTTATCACCATCTGCTGACAGAACCTCAAAACACTGCTCTGAGATTTCTCCCTGGATCCTCCAGAGCTCTCAGCTCTGTGAATTGGTTGGTAAACCACCAGTTGTTTACTCATGGTTCTTCTGCTGTTGGCCTGTATTGCAGACACAGGCAATGTTGCCTTCCAGAAGAAGCATCAACATCTAATTCTGTATTGTAGCTTCTCTAAGACAGGTGAGGACCAGTTCTTTTCAAAACAAAGCAGAATTATCATAGAATCATAGAATCACAGAACAACTTTGGTTGGAAGGGACCTTAAAGATCATCTAGTTCCAACCCCCCTGCCATGGGAAGGGGCACTTTCCATTAGACCAGGTTGCTCAAAGCTCCATACAACCTGACCTCAAACACTGGCAGGGATGGGGCAGCCACAATTTCTTTGGGCAACCTGCTCCAGCGTCTCACCACTCTCACAGCGAAGAACTTTTTCCTAACATCTAAATCTACCCTCTTTCAGCTTGAAGCCATTCCCCCTTGTCCTGTCACTGCAAGCATTTGTAAAAAGTCCCTCTCCAGATTTCTTGTAGACTTCCTTTAGGTACTGGAAGGCTGCTAGAAGGTCTTTGTGGAACCTTCTCCAGACTGAACAAGCCCAAATTTTCAGTCTGTCTTCATAGCAGAGGTGCTCCAACCCTCTGAGCATCTTCATGGCCCTCCTCTGGACTCACTCAAACAGGTCTATGTCCTTGTGTTGGGGGCCCCAGAGCTGAAGCAGTACTGCAGGTGGGGTCTCATGAGAGCAGAGCAAGAGAATCACCTCACTCGACCTGTGGTCATGGTCCCTTTGATAAAGCCCAGCATAGGCTTTCTGGGCTGGAAGAACACACTGCTGGCTCATGTTGAGCTCCTCATCGACCAGCATCCCCAAATCCTGCTCCTTAGGGCTGAGGCCCTCCTCAAGGCTGAATGAAATGAATACAACCATATACCATACACCACAACCTTCACTCTGCCCTCCTGGGTTTTCCTGACTTCCAGTGCACGCTTGGCCACCTGCTGAACATGACTTGACTTTTCTATGGCCTCTTCCTTTAACCTAATATTTATCAACCACTAGCACTATAGAAAGAGGTATATGCAGAGACGGAAAGTAAGGAAAAAGGCATATCGTTTGTAGGATGGGAAACTTGCAATAGAAACAAAATATATATATATACCTATATGAAGTATAGGTAAGTTGTAAGTATATAGTAAGGATAGCTTGAATATCTTGTTTTTCTGGATTTCTGACAGACATGATATGTGCCTGAGTAGCTACTCAAATCACATATTTCAACAAAATGGTCTGTGTTCCAGCACTGTGTCTTTGATTTCAATGACATTTCAGGCAGCTTTCCAATGTAGAGATCAAGGTAGGTTGCTCATTTCAGCTCACTTCTCCAGTGGCATTCAAACACAATGTTCTCGTACTTGCATTAACTGGAAAATAACAAGTGCAACAGCTCTCTGGATAGTTGAAATTGAAATCCATGAAACTATTTCTTCATAAATTTAGGCATTCAACTTTTTTGGGGGAAAAAGCAGACGATTTTTGTTCATTTCTTCACTAAGTCACATATTAGTACTACCTCCAAGGACCCATTATGGGCTCTTGTGGACATTTGTATGCATTCAAAATAAAAACAAACACATTTTTTTATAAAAATGTCATGCTTCTACAGTCTCCTGCAGAGACAATTATAAACCACCATAATAACTCATTATAACAATTGAAAATTCTAATCTAGGTTATAAACATTAAAATTTATTACAAATATTATAAAAATAATTCAAACTCCTAAACTGATTAAGATTCTGTTACCTGACTTTATGAATTAAGACCAGTCATTAGGGACAAGCCTTAGAGATATGGGGGTTTGTCTTTGTCTGCGTAAAATATGTATCTGCCTTTTAAAGAATTTCAGCTGTCTGGAAATGAATAGAGTTTGGCAACAACTATATAAACCATAACATTCTTATTTCAAGAAACTTTATTTAAATGTATATACAGAGTGTGCTAGACACTTTATAGTCTATGTATGGCTATAAAGATTTGGTTCATGTCCCAGAGAATTTCTGCTCTCACTTGAAGATTTGATGAGTTGAGTGAGCAGAGAGAACACAAAATAAAGAAAACTGAGTTTTGTAGTAGAGCAACTAAACAGTTAACACTATGAATAAAGAATAATATTTATTATAAATTTAGAATATGTTTTAGGAAGGAAATGCACATGAGCAAACAATAAAATAACTCCTAATACGCTAGCCTGTATGTTGAATTAAAATTGAAACTTGGTCTTGACTATATAAGAATCTTATTAAAATTGTAATCCTCTGTTTTTTCTTCACTCTTACTGGATTATTTGGGTTTTTTTCCAAAGAGAAAGTTATGTTATTATTGTACCTGGCTTTCCATTGCCTCTTTAGGATTTCCTGGATATGAATAAATTATTATTACATAAAATTTCACAACATTCACTCATTACTTCTGAAGAACCATACCGGCTCCTCATCCTTTTTGAATTCTGTCATTTGTCTTTTTTAAATTACAAAAATCAGCATTTATACTGCATTATTATTTATTTTCATATCTTAACTACAGAAAAATAAATACATTTCCTGACATAAAAAAATACCCCTACTCTCATTAGCTTGATGAATTTTGTGCTTCCTGAAGACCTCTTACAGATAATATAAAGACAGGAGAACAGAACAATCTGAAAGACCCAACAAGACAGCATAATTCTGTATACTGTTGAAAAGCAAAGGCCTTCAAACAAGGAAGGTTAAGCCCATAAT